CGCCTGCTGCCCGCCCACCGCACCCGTGGCCCAGCCCTGATGCTGCGAGCCGCCAGCGGCGGCGGCGGCGGCGGCGGCCGCCGCCAGAGGCTGCTCTCCCAGCAGCGCGCCGCGCTCGTCTGCCGACAGCGGCGCCGAGCGCTGGCCGATGGCGGGCTGCTGCTGCACGCGCCGCTGCTGCTGCTGGTGCGGCTGGATGATGGAGCGCAGGGAGTGGACCTGAGAGGCAAGGGCGGGCAGCGCGGTAAGCACGGTGGCGGGTGCGGTGCGTGTGGGCAGCGAGAGGTTGCGAGTCCGGCTGCCAGCCCAGAGGGATTGCGAATCTGGCTGCCAGTCCAGCCACACCGCCAGCCAACAGAGAGCACACACACACACACACACACACACGCCAACACACACATGCACCTTCCAGCGATAGTAAGCCGCGCCCTCGCCGCCGCTCAGGAAGGCGTGCTGCCCCTCCTTCTGCTGCCGCTGCCGCACCATGCTCTCAAAGATGATGCCTGCCGCAGGGTGGAGCCAGGTGAGGACCAAGGGCGCAGGCGGTACTTGGATGCGTGCAGGTGGCGGCACAGGTAGAGGCTTCAGCCAGCCAACAACCCATAGGGATGTTACACATACACACACGACCAGCCGCCAGCCTCCCCTCACCATTCCGCGCCACAAAGAAAGCCAGGCTGTCGATGGCCTGACGCAGCTGGGGGTCGGCGGGAGGCTCCGCCTGCGGCGGCGGGGCAGCCTTGTCGACGACTGCAGCGCAGCGCGCACGCGGCAGCGGGCGGGAGGGTCAGCCGGCTGGGGGGATTGAACACTCACTGTCGGACCAAGCTGCAAACTGCCCGCACGACAAAAAAACATTCCCCCCAAGCTCGCTGGCTCCGCCTCACCTGCCGGCAGCGCCGCCTCGGTGTCGCGGCTGGGGCGGTGCAGCGGCACGTAGCCCGGCGGCACGCGGGGCGGGGGGAAGTAGGCAAACACGACGGCCACGGTGGCCCTCACAAAGCCGGGCACCAGCCCGCTCTTGCCCTGCGCTTGCTCCTGCGCCGCACGAGGCAGGGGACGGCAGCGCGGCTCAGCTCGCACGCCCCGGGCTGAGCAGCAGCTTTCCTTGGGCCCTGCACAGCCGCAGAAGCCAGCAGAGAGCTCAAGGCGCCACCCGTCGCCCTGCCCCACCCCACCCCACCCACCCACCCTGCTCTGCAGCAGCAGCGGCGCCTCTCTCCCCGGCAGCGCATACTGGTGCTGGCGGGCGTGCGGGTGCCACTCGAGCGCCGCAGGCTCCTCCTCCTCCTCCTGCACCCAGCAGACGGCAGGCGTGTGAGGGTGGGCAAGGCAGGGGCTGCCCACAAGGGAAACGGCACCACACAGCCTCCAGTGGCACAGCCCAGGCTGCCTTCCTGCCTGACGGCGCACTCGACGAGCCTCCTCCTCCTGTCACAGCATACTGGCTGGCTGCCCCACCCCACCCAACCCCCTCCCTAGCCTCCTGCCCGGGCCTCCCACCGTGATTTCGAAGCTGTACCCACGATTCGCAAGCCTGTCCCCCAGCCCGCCCTTCCGCAGCTTGGGCACCCGCGAGCGAGGCATGCCGCCCGCCTCCACCTCGTCTGCGGGGGGGGGGGAGGACAGGGCAACGAGGGGCGGGGGCAGGCTGAGGTGGCACGGAGAGGGGGCTGAGACTGGGGCACAACGGGCCGGCCCGGGGTTTCAGCACAGCACAGCACGCCACAGCACAGCATAGCGTAGCGCAGCGCAGCACAGCGCAGCACAGCAGCACCAGCGGCATCACGCCCCACCATCGTACTCCCCCACATCGTCGTGGGTAACGTAGTCGTCCAGCGAGGCGCCGTGGCCGTACCCATCCTCCTCATCCAGCACGCCTGCAGCCGCGCAACAGCACAGCCCGGGGCAGCCAGCGGGGCCGTGGGCGGGGTCAAGTTCAGCGCCGTAAAAGGAGCGCGGGCGGGAGCCGGGGGTGGAGCAGGCAGGCGAGAGCGGCTGCAAAAACAAAAAATAGCCCTGAGGGGTAGGGCAGCCCGCGCCGCGACGTGGCACAGCCGCCGCGGCCGCCGCACCCGAGCCGAACGCGATGCCGCGCCGCCGCTTCCTGGCGTCGCCCGCGCCCTGCCCCGGCCGCGCCGCCGCCTGCCGCTGCTCCTTGAGCCGCCTGAAGTCCTCGGCGCCCTGCGGCGGCAGGCAGCGGGAGCGGGTGCAGGGGAGGCGTTCCAGTGCACACGGCCCATGCATCGGTCCGCTCGCTCCACCACACGCAGGCGGGGGCCAGGGCCAACCATGCCGGGCCGACGTGTGGCAAGGATGCACAGCCACAAGGCTTGGATAACCTCCCCACCACCACCACCCGCACAGGCCGGGGCCCGCGCCCACCTTGAAAGGATCAAACCCCAGGCCATGCACATCTGTCTTGGGCGCCAGCAGGTAGAGCTGGGTGTTCTCTGCCGCCACGCTGACGTGCTGCCCCCAGCGCCGCTGCTTGCGCCCCTGCGCCCCCTCCTCGCCCCCCGCAGCCGCACCGCCCTCCTCCGCCTCCTCGTCTGCAGGGGTGGGCGCGTCGCCGCCCACGCCTGCATGCAGGCAAGAGGGCGCCGAGGCTCGCGCTGCGGGTTCCCTGGCGCGGCACGGCAGCGGGCAGCAGGCAGGCCCGCTGGGCAGGCAGCCGCAGGCAGGAGGGGCTGCCTGCGGCCCGGTGCGCTGCAAGGCCCAGGCAGTGCCGGGGCGGCGGCGAGCAGCGGCATGCTCCACGCACCGATGCCCTTGCCCTGGCGCCAGCCCATCTTCTGCAGCAGGCGAATGCCCACGCTGTCAGCCACGGGCACCACGAGCTCATCGGGCAGCAGCCCGGGGATGGCTGCAGGGCGGGCAGGCAGGCAGGGGAGGGTGCGCGGGTGAGGGCGGGCAGGCAAGGGGGCGGGAGCATGACACATGGCACGGCTGCCATGCACGCCATTCTGAGCACAAGGCTCTCAGAGCGCGCCGGGCGGCGCCGAGGGCCCCAAGGCAGCGGGCAAGGTGCTGCAGCTGTCCGCAAAGCCGCCCTGCCCACGGGCGCCGCACCCGAGGGCCGCTCGGCGGCAGCGTCTGCCGCGGTACGCCGCGCCAGCTCCGCCGCCGTGCTGCCAAAGGTGTCGTACTCGGCTGTGGTCTGCACCGGCGGCCGTGCCAGGCAGCAGGCAGGGCACATATATAGAGAGAGAGGACTGGGTCCTATGCAGCAGATGCACAGCGGCGGGAGAGGGGCAACGGGCCCTTGCCCCTGCAGCGCTGCCACTGACGCCTCTGCTCCAGCAGCAGCCAGACCAGCGCCCCGTCCCCACCTGCATGCTCATCTGCGTGCCCCAGCAGCCCCAGCAGGCTGTGCGGCCCCGCTGCAGCAGCCACGGCAGGCGGTACACAGCAGTACAGCAGGCCCCACCTGCAGGTTTGTGCGGCGCAGCTCCTCCAGCTCATCCTCATCGAGGTACTGCTCCACGCTCTGCTGTACCGCCGCCCGGCTGTCTCGGCTGCTGCGGAACTCGCCCGGCTGCCACCCCTCCTTGCTGCCCACTGCGGCGGCGGGAAGCGAGCGAGCGGGTGCAGGACGGGCGCGCGGGTGCGGCTCAGGGTGCGCACCAAGGATGCGGGCCGATGAGGGGGAAGGGAGATGTGTGGCGCGGCGCAGGCTGGGCAGGTCCTGGGCTGGGGGGCAGCACCCACCAGTGTTGAAGTAGCCCGCGCTGAAGCCGCCCGTGAAGGCACCGTGGAAGCGGCGGCGCCCCTGCTCATCCGTCACCTCCTGCGGGGCGCAGCCAGCGGCGGGCCAGGGCGGTGCGGTTGGCCAGACACGGACAAGGCGAGGCTGCTGTCTACCTGAGCAGCGGCGGCGGCGGCGCGGTCACCTGCTTGTGCAGCGGCAACGCCCGGGTGGCGGAGGGGTCTGTGACCTTCTTATGATGCTGCCCCAGCCGCGTCTCCCGCTCATCCTCGATTTCTGTGCCGAAAAAGTGGAAGTCCGGCTCGTCGGCGAGCCCCGCCATTGCAGGCGGCCCCCTCTGCAGTCGCTATGGATCTCGATTGCAATTGGTCAGCGCAGAGAGTGGGTTTGTCCCAAAGGCCGCAGGTGATCGCCCGGTGCAGACTGTGAGCAGCTGCGGAGACCTGAGATGGACGATTGAAACGTGTGCAAGAGCAGAGGGTCGGCCTGTACGGAGGACGGCCAGGGAATCCCCATGGCGCAGCGCAGCGCTCAACGGGCGCCACCTCGCTGACGGTAGTCAGCAACGGCAGGTGAAGGAGGCCCCTCAATCACGTGAGGGCATGAGATATAGATCAGCACATGGATCTCGGATTTCATCTGTCCGAAATGGACAGTGCCAGGCCAGAGTACACTCCAAGCCAAGCCAGCGGAGCGGGTGGCCGCTGCAGTGCAGCGACGGCAAACTGGCCGCGGGACATGACGGGCCGAAGGGAAATGTGTGTAATCATCCTCAATTAAGCTTTGCGTTGCATCATGCCGCTGCCAGGCTCTCCATGTGGCTGCAGGCAACTAAACGCCGACTGGACTCGCCGGCAGGCCCGCCTCATCTCGCCGGCTGGCCCGCCTCATCAGCGTCCTCGGGACAGCAGGCCGCAATTTCGCCTGGCTCTGGCTTGACTGCCTATTCTGTGCTGGCTACGATAATAAGGGCGCCCCCCCGTGTGAAACGCGACTGATCAACCCGCGCCCAAGGCCTTGGAAGGGTCTCGGGTGCCTGGAAGACGGCCGGAGAGCGATTTGGGAGAGCTCCAGTCGCCGAGCAGCGCCAGGCGGCATGCCCTTCCCCAAACCTGTCGCCGGCAAGGCGGGCAGCGGTGGCGGTGGCTCGACTCCCTCCGCCTGCGGGCTGTGCCACAAGCAATTGGACATAGGCGACCAATACATCCTAGGCGCGTGGAGGCACATGGTGTCATACATGCGTACGTTGCCGTGCAGGAATGCAGGGAGAGAGGGCGACCTTGCAATGGCCGCTGCAGGGACCTGCTCCGCGTGCGGCGCTCGCCCATTCCACTTTGAGTGTGTATCGGACTACACAGAAGAGGTGGGTGGGCGGCCTCGCCGCCATGTGCTGGCCCTGCTCGCCAGGCGCAAGCCCAGGTCATGGCCGCCGCTCAGCGAGTCCCCCGGTGTCGCTCAGCGAGTCTTTCTGCAGGCCTGCCTCCTGTGGGCCTGCCGCCTAGGTCGAGGGCGGTGCTGGGGCAGAGCAGTCCAATCATCCTGGCTCTCCCTCTCCCCACACCTTGTGTCACAGAACGCGGGCCTGCATACCAGCAGCGGCAAGGCTCGAGAGAAGGGCAGGTTTTACGCCAGGAACCGCCCTCAGGACCTATTTGCCCAGAACCGAACGGTGCAGGCACGCCTCCTGGGGGCCTGCCGCCCAGGCCGAGGCCGGTGCCGTTGCTGGGCGGTGGCAGGATGGATGCACGGGGTCAGGTGCAGCTTGCGTCGCTGACTGGTGAGGTTCCCTTTCGCGTGTGCCAACCCTGCAGCGCAAGCCCCAGGGGTGCCCCAACCCAGACTGCTCAGGTGGGGGCATGACACGCGGTTGCATGCAATCCTGCTGCACAGGGCGCCGCCTGTGCAGGAGGTGCCGTGATCAGTGCATGCTGCTCCTCCAATGCTGCCGCCCCCTGGTGCGCCGTAGGCATGATGGTGGATGCCGAACTCATAAAGAGAAAAAATGCAGCCCCGCCTGTGGCAGAGCCGGCGCCACCCGCTCCGCCTGCCAAGCGCCCCGCCGCTCAGAAGCAGCCGGCGGCGGCGGCGGCGCAGAAACCGCAGCAGGCGCCGGCAGCTGCGGCCAAGACACCGGCTAACCCCGCCCTCGCCAAGGAAGCGACAAACCCGGCCGGCAGTCAGAGCAACAAGGCTGGCGTCGCTGCCGCCACCAGTGCTGGCGGTGCCAGCCGACCCAGTGCTGGGGTGGTTGGTAGCAGCACTAGCATGAAGGCAGCAGGAGGCACTGGTGGCGCCCCCCTGAGCAGGTCTGGGAGCTCTGCCAGCAACAGCCACAGCGCCAGCGCTGCCGCCACCAGTGCGTCTCAAAAGCAGCAGTTGCAGCAGCTGCGGGCTGCTGCTGCCTCAGCCCGTGCCACCATCATCGGCATTGGGTGGTTTGGCAGCAGCCCAGGTAGCAGCCCCCGCAACCAGGTGGTTGTAGCCAGCCGCTAACACGCCACTGATGTTTCTAGCCAGCGCTCTGCTCCCAGCAGGCTAGCTCAGGAGCCACAGGTGTGCAGGCTGCTCAGCCGCGCTGAGAGCCTGCCATGCCTTGCCGTGTGCGGCTGTTGGTTTGGCCTGGCGACACTCCAGCAGCTGCTGGCGACTTGGTTTGGGACGCCGAATGCCCCACTGCCCCTTTGTGGCTGCAGCCCGCCGTGAGGCGACCGCAGTCTGGCAGCAGCACCATTGGCGGCACATTTGCGGCGCTGGCTGGCTCGGCTGAGCCCCCAGAGTGGCAGGGAGAGTCGGAGGGAGAGGAGTTGGAGGCTGAGGCGGTGCCAGTACCGAGCCCCAGCGAGGCAGCAGGAGAGGCGCTGTCGGCAGAGGCATGGCCCGCGCTGGGCTCCACCGTGGCAGGTGCCCGCCCCGACCCGCGGGAAGCACGTGGGGAGGGGGAGGGCGCAGGCGGCAGCGAAGACGGGAAGGATGCGGCGCGGCAGGCAGCGCCGAGCGCTGGGAGTGCGGGCGCCGCGCTAGTGGCGGCGGCAGGGCCTGAAGGCGGCCTGGGGCGGTGGCAGGCGCCGGCAGCAGCCACAGGGACGGAGCCTGCCTGGCATCCGTGGGCGGAGCGTCAGCATGCCGGCCCGCGGCCCGCCGTGGCTGCCGGTGCGCCCGGCGGCGGCGGCGGCCAGTGTGCTGCCACCCCCGACTGGGCAGCCCCAGACCCAGCCCCAGACCCCCTCCATCAGCCAGAGCCTGCTCCGTCACCCTCAGGCTTTGAGGACGGGTACGCCGCAGGCCTGGCTGCCGCCCTGCGCTGCCAGCAGGAGGACCTCCAGCGGCGGTGGCAGTCGGGGCAAGAACTGTGGCAGCAGCCTCCGGCGCCGGCGCCCTCACACGTGGCAGAAGAGCACCTGCAGGCGCAGCCCTGTGGGACGCGCAGCTTGTGGCAGGCGCCGTTGCCGGTGCAGGAGCAGGCGGGCGTCGGCGAGCAGCCGGCGTGGGGCGTGCAGGCGGCACCCGCGGCGGCGGTGCCGGGCCAGGGTGATGACGAGGCAGAGGTGGAAGCGCTCCTGGGCCTGCTTGGCATCGGCTGAGGCCCGCACGATGCCCACATCCCGCCAGCTGAGGATGCGCTTGATGAGTCGATGCGATGCATATGCAGCCCGACCTACTGTAAGTGCTTGCCAAGCCTGGGTCTGGTGCGCGCCGGCGCCGCTTGAACGGGCCAGGGGGGAACCAGGGCGGGCGGTGGCAGGATGGACTATGCTCCAAGCAACCGGGCGTCCATGATCCACCAGTCGGCAAGGTATCTCGATCACCAACCTCGATCACCAACCTCTTTATGCCTGTGCAAGGGCCTGTGCAAGGCAGGGCTCATCGGCGCTGGCTTCTCCCTAGCTCCCCTAGCCATGACGCGACACCCCGTCCGGCTACGCGGTTCTCACAACCGTCCAGACGAGGCGTTCCCGTGCTGCTCCCTCCTCGAGCTGCTCCGCTGCGGCTTCTGCACGAGTGCACCGCCCTAGGTGTCCTGGGGACCGGCGTTGGCTGCCCCTACAACGCCCTGCGGGCCCATGCACTGAAGACGGGCGTCCCAGCTCTAGAGCAAGGAGGGGTGCCCAGCTGCTTAGTTGGTGAGCGAGGCCCTGGCCCGTCCTCCGTCCCTCTTCGGTTCAAGCCACGGCAGAGCCCACCCTTCGGTTTCCCGCCTTTCTGCCGACGTCCGCGATGCTGCGTGTCTGCAGGGCCTGTTGACTGCATGGCCGTAGTGGAACTGGCCACTGCCGCCGGCGGCACCGCTTGGCGCGCCGCGCCGGTGCTTCGGCGCCCATTTGCATCGCGCTGCCTGCCGGCTCGCTGAGCAGGCCAACCCTCAGCAGGCCAGGCTCCCTATCAGCACCCGGAAGAGTGACAATCCATACCAGTGCGGCGGTGCCGGCAGCAGCCCCACCCGCCGGCTGCGGCCCCGCCGCGGTTCGCGGCAGCGACAGCGCAACCGAAACCGCAGCGCAGCTAGCACGCCTGCAGGCATGGACGGGTCCTGCCACATCCTGGCCTCCAGCGATGCGCAGCCCTCGGGCGCCGCCAGCGGCAACGCATTTGGTGCGCTGCTGCAAGTGGCAGAAGTGGCGGCGGCGCAGGATAGGAACCTGCGGGAGCCAGGTGGGCAGCTGGGGGTGCAGCTGCCAGCCGCTACATGCCCAGGCCGCTGCCGGCTGCTGCAACCAGACATGCCAGCTTGCCTGCATGTGCTGCTGAGGTCCAGCCTGCCTGCCGCAGCCTGCGTCAGCCGCGCCTCAAGCCACTTGAGCTGCCCGCCTGGATGGGCAGTCGCCCTCACGCCGCTACCGCGCCATGCCCCATCCCGTGCAGGTGAGAGGACGCCAGCCGCCCACCAGGCTTCTCGGCAGCGCAGCAGCCACCTGCAGGCGGATTTTCAGCACCACCACCGGCGGCTCCGGGGCAGGCATGGGGTGCACAGTGGCGGCCCATGGCAGCTGTGCGCCACTTGCAGCCCGCCGCATCCGCCAGCAGCTCAGGCTGCGCGGCCACGCAGCAACGCACCAGCATGCCGCAGCTGCCAGCCTCACAAGCGCTTGCAGCGGCCAGCCATGGTGGGCGGCGCCACGAGGCGAGCGTGTCTGCGCCTGGCAGCCGCAAGCGGCCCAGCATCACAGAGGCGGGCTCCGAGTCGCCGCCCCTGAAGCGCAACCCCAGCCTGCAGCTGCTGCAGCAGATGCAGCAGCTGCCCGGCTGGACTGAGCAGCACAATGTTGAGCTGCAGAAGCAGCTGCGCACCCTGCTGCTCCTGCAGCAGCTGCAGGCGCAGACGCAGGCGGCGCCCCAGCACCGCCACCCCCCGCATCCCCTGGCCGGTGCCGCCCTTGCCCGCATTGCCAGCGCCAGCGCACTGCACCTGCCAGAGTCGCCCCACCTGCAGCAGTTCCACCGCTCAGCCTCCTTCAGCGGCGCCCTGCCCTCGCCGCCGCGCCCAGGCAGCGCCGCCGCCGGCTCCAGCCACAACGCCGCCCAGCTGGCAGCGATGCTGCAGCAGATCAACCTGCTGAGCCAGACCGACACCACCCAGGCGCAGCAGGGACTGCACCAGCAGCAGCAGGCTGCCACCGCTCTGCCAACTCCGGCAGCAGCGGCGGCAGCATGTTGGAGCGCCCCAGGTCCGCTCCCGCCCCCGCAGAGCCCACACCCTCCTCCACGCCCGGCAGGTGGGGCTCCCGCTCGGCCAGCGGGCAGCTTTGGTGCTGGTGCCGTCCCGCAGTCTTGCGCCGCTCGATGCCGTCAGCATGCGCGGCACAACAGCTGACTCCCCCCCCCCCGCTCATGCCCTCCCCCTGCCCTCACGCAGGGCCCCCAGCCCCCGCACCCTGGTGCTGGCCAGGGCGCTGCAGGCCATCCTGGAGAAGCTGCCGCCCGAGGAGGCTCGGGAGCTGCACGAAGCCCGCTCCTTCCTGGCCCAGTTTGGCCCCGCCCCCTCCCACAGCAGCTGAGCCACCCCTGCCATAGCCGCCGGGCACGCACACAGTGCGAGTGACACATCCAACACGCTTTCCTGCACAAGATGAAAAGCAATGTTCTGAAAATGAGTGCGCACTGGGCTCCTGACACCGGCTGCCCCACCTGACACCGGTTGCCTGCGAACGGCGCCCACCCGCCTCAACGGATGTCCAATACCTTATTTCTGCCAGCCATTTCATTCTTCTGATCGAACCTATCCAGTGATCAAGCCCCTCTAGCCGTTCCTGTGTGATCCTTCTCATTCCATTCATTCAATCTGCCAGTCCTGCGCTGCAGCTGCAAATGCTTTCCATTTGTTCTGGGTGTTTTCAATATGTTGCCTGTTGTTGCCTGGGTGTTTTCAATATGTTGGTCTGTTTCGCGCCTCCCCCTGGTATTGTGGGATTCCCACTATGGCGGCCACCCCGCTGCCCGCCTTGCGGCCGTGTGTTTGTAAGATGCCACACCTTTCGTCTGCATTTTTCCTCGCTCCCTCTTTCATCCACTCCTCTCCTCGCCCCACCATCACCAGCTGGGCCCAGTCGCCCTCAATCCCTGCCCCTGCCATCAACTTCGCGCCCCCGAGCTGTCTACGCCTGCCTTTCATGGGATCCAGATTCCATCCTCAGCAATGCCACTCTCACCATTTCTGTGCACCACCGATCTGGGCAGACATTTGCCATGTGTAAGTGACAAATCGCCCCAGCCATCCGCTGCAGCATGTCAGGCCACACCACACCAAGCATGTGGTCGCAGGTGTTATGTACCTCTTACAAAATGGAAGGCAAGCCGATGTCCACTTTGGTGGAGCAGGGGGGGCCTTCACGCAGCAAAAAACGCAGAGGGGGAGACATGGACAGTCCAGCAAGCAGGAGGTGAGAGAAGAGAGGCGTACAGGGCATACACTCATTGGCCGTGCAACAGCGCAGTCCTGAGGAGCAGAATTGAGAGCAGAGCACAGGGTTTCGTAGCCAGAGGGGTGGGAGGACGGCATGAAAATGGATTTTGAGTGTGAGCAGGGCAAACAGGTTAGCAGGGCAGTTAATTGACGGCCGTCGTAGAGGCTGGCCGGCGTAAGGCATACGGTGCAGGGCAGGAGGTGGTGCCACGAGAGTCGGGTGGGCATTCATTCGGGCGGAGCGAGGAGGGGCGGGGCGCAGCTGAGATTGGGCTGGCCGCCGCAAGCAGATTGGCACAAAAAAATAGCAAGCAAGCGAGTCAGAGTAGGGTGCTGTGGCGGGGCGTCGGGCCCGTGCCGCGCTTGAGCCTGTGGGCCGCCCGCCCGCCTACTCCTCAGCCAGCTGCAGCGCCTGCAGGCGGGTGCGGAAGTCCCACTGGCAGTGCGGCTGCGCTAGAGCCACAGAGTCCCAGGAGGGGTGGCAGTCGCACCGCGGGCGGTCCTCGGGCTCCGAGGGGCTGCGGCGCAGGCAGGCAGGCAGGCAGGCAGGCGGGGGGCCAGCGCGGGCGGTTGGCGCGGCGGGCGAGGGAGGCGGAGGGAGGCGGCCGGCCAGGCAGGCACGCACGCACGAGACGCACGGCAGCGCGCATGGCAGCACAGGGGGCCGGCAGCGAGGGGCGGCACCGCCGGGAGCGGCGCGGGCGGCGGCGCGGCGGCGCTGCGCTCACCAGTACGCCCAGCTTCCGTGCTTGTACCCAATGTCGCGGGCAAAGTGGATTTGGTCGCGGTGCAACAGTGCCGCCGCCGCCAGCGTGTGCACCGGCGCATCGCCCCACCTGCACCCCAGCAGAGCAGCCGGCGGCAGCAGGCAAGGGGGGGGTCAGCGGCGCTGTGCAGCGGGCGGGCGGCGGCCCGGCAGCCAGGGGGCTGCCTGTGCGGGCAGCGGTGGCAGCTCATGCTCATAGGATAGGAGCGGCGCGGCGGCCCGGCTCTGCCAGCCAGGTGATGCCAGCCAGGGCGTGCACAGACGCGCACACACAAGCCGGAAGCCCCCAGTGTCGCTCACCGCTCGTAAAAGAAGCCGGTGCCGGCGTCCAGGTGTGCAAAGAAGGAGCGGTAGGCCTTGCTGCGGAAGAAGGACAGGCGCCCCACCTCAAAGTTGCTCCAGAAGTGGCACCCCGTGAAGCGGCTGCGCCCGTAGGGCGACGCCAGCACCCGCTGCCGCTGCTGCTGCGTGGCCTTGCCGCCGCCGGCGGCGAGCGCCGCCGTCACCAGCCGCGGCCGGTCTATTGCCAGGCTGGCGGTGGTGCCGCCGCCGCCGCCGCCGGGCCGCTCCTCCTCCAGCAGCGCGGGCAGCAGGTTGCCCGGCGCCACGTGCTGCGGGTTGTCTGCCAGCCACTGCTGCACCTCGGGCCACAGGCTGGGGATGGTGGACGGAACCTCGTCCATCTGGCGGCGGGGTGGGCGGGGCGCAGCGGGCGGGCGGTGAGCGAGGGGAGCGGCGGTGGGCGAGCAGCCGGGCGCCGGCTCCGAATGCATGCATGCATTGCGGGGGCCTGCGCGCGACCCTGTGAACACATCCCCAGCCACGCAAGCGGCGCCGGCCCCAGCCCCCGCGCACCACGATGGTCCACGCCAGGCTCTGGTTGCTGGCCTGCATGTGTCGGAAGGGGTCTCGCTCGCGGCCCGGCAGGTTGCACATGAAGTGCACATCGGGCTCCACCCGCCAGTACCAGTCAAACCCCTCCAGCAGCGGGTGGTCGAAGAAGAAGCCGCTGAAGTATCTGCGGTACCAGCGGCAGCACAGGATGGTGCGGCACGCCCGGTCAGCGCGGTCGGGCGGGCGCTGAGTCGGAAGGCGGGGGGGCACCCACGCGGGCGGCACACCGCAGCCAGGCAGTATGGGCGCAGGCAGGGCCCCCCTCGACTCGAGGCAGCGCTCCGGCCCGGCCGCCACAACACAAGCGGCGTGCGCGCACCTGCACATGAAACGGTAACTCTCGCTGCCGCCGTAGGGCATTCGGCGCCGTGCCGCCTGCCGCAGCTCCGCGGCGCGGCTGACGTTGATGTGGGGCGGGTAGCTCCAGTGCTCTTGCGGCACCAGCCCAAAGAAGCAGGGCGCGGCAGTGGCCGCCGTCACCGCGGCGCGGAACTTAAGAGAGAAGGGCCGGTCATTTAGGTAGCTGCGCCGGGGTTGGCAGGGCGGGGCGCAGCGGGCGCGGCAGCGGGCAGTGGGCGTCGGCGTGGCGCAGGTGCGCGGGCCATGCGCCAGCGCCCCTGCAAGCGCGTGCCTGGCTGGCCGAAGCGGCGAGACGGGCCGCGCAAGCCCCGCCACGGCCCCCTGGCTGGCGCCCCACCGGCGGCTCACCAGTAGGGGTAGCGCGCGTGTGGCGCCGCGTTGAAGCGCCGCTCCAGCTGGCCCACGCTGCTCAGCACGCCGTGCAGGTCGCTGTTCCTGGCCAGGATGAGGATGCAGGCACGGGGCTTGTCCTCGGGCCAGGCGGCCAGCAGGTCAGCGGCAGCGGCCAGGTCGCCCGCGCCGCCCTCCCCCGCTCGCCGCGGAGGGTCCACCCGCTCGCCGCCCGCCGCCACGCCGGCCAGTGGGGCCGCCAGCAGCCGCAGGCACAGCACTAGGCAGGTTGCCGCGGCTGCGGAGGCCAGCAGCACGACGCTGCTGCGGGGAGCACCCGAAGGCTTCAGCCCCTGCGAGCCCACCAACGATTGCAGCAGGCCATGAGGGCTGTCTGCGCCCATGGCGCTTATGTGGGGCTGAAGCGGGCTCCGTGAAGCGCAAGGGCAATGCCTGAACGTTCAAAGGCGTTCTGTTGGCACTCCCCCTATGCCCTCGTGTCTGTCTGCGGGCGCGTGCATGGGGTGAAGCGGGCGGGAAGGAGTGTCGGCTGATCGCCGTTATTGCATTGCAAACATGCAGACTCGGAGCTGGCACGCTGGGGGGAGCGGTGCGGGCTGGGGAGCCCCAGAAAGCGGCGCCACAACAGACGCGTTGGCGGCGCACGCAGCCCGCCCCTTCGGTGCACCTGCAGGAATCCCCAGGCAGTCCCACATGCAAGCCAGGGGATCCTCCAGGCTCATACATCCCAGGGCAGCCTAGCCCTATCCCCGGGCTCAGTGGTGGGGCAGCAGGCGTGAGCAGGGGGATGGGGCGTGGGCGGCGCCAACAACCCTAACCAGCGCGCTGGCTTTCCCCTGATGTAACGGGGGCTCGCTATAAATCTGCATTCAAATTGCCCTGCACTTCGGGGCTGTGTAGACTACACTGTAGTGGACCTGGCTTGCTCCAGGTGTGTCGGGGGGCCCCGAACCCTCGCACAATGTTTACAACTGTTAATCTGACTTGTTCCGCGCAACCACCAGCATGTGCATTCCGCAGCCCGAGCCGCTCCCTGCTTTGCGCTCGGGCCTGCCATTCTGTACGCTACCATTCTACGCTCGCCAGAACCAAGTCCTGGCACGGCGCCGCTGGACAGATGGCCTGCCGCTGGTGAGCGCACCCGGTGCACCCGGTGCGCGCGCCCAAGCTATAGCCCGCGCCGCCGTCAGCTTGCACCGCTCGCCGCCACCTGCCCCCTCGGCTTGCGTTTCCCTTGCTGCAGATCGTGCTGCTGGTTGGCATGCGCCGCTCCTGGCACCTGATGTCGCGCGGCACGGCAGCTCTGCTCATGTGCCACCTGGTGGCCCTGCTGGCCCACACCATCTGGAGGCGTGCCGTGCCGCCCGCCAGCTTTGCGGCGAGGCGAGAGCTGTTTGCCGCCGTGTTCAGGGTGACCACCCTGTGGTTTGGCCTGCTGGCGCTGCTGCAACGCCAGAAGCTGGACGCCATGCCGCTGGCCCCGCCGCCGCCGGATGAGGGCGGGCAGGCGCACTGGGCAGCCGCTTCGGCCGCCAGCGCCTCACACGTGGGCCTGCTGCTCATGTCCTCCTGTGCGGCCATCCTGGCCTTCCAAGCGCTGACCTGGCGTGTGAGGTTCAGGTGCGGCGCACACGAGCGGCTGCCGCCCTTCACCGCTCCCAGGACCCCCCTGGTCCAAGTCTGGCGCGCTGCGTACCTCGCCACGCACCGAGCCCCTGCCGCATGCCCTCCCCTCCTGCACGCAGCGTGAGCGTGGCCGTGCAAGCGGTGCTGGTGGGCACGCTCATCCCCCACAACCGCCACATCTGCGGGGCGGCGCCGCTGGCGCAGCCCGCGGTACGGCGCACGGCGGCCGCGCTGCACCGCCTGCTGGGCACGCTGGCCTTCACCCTGCCCATGCCCGCCTCTGTTTTCCTGAGCCCCGACGCGGAGGCCAGGTGCACCACCCTGCTCACCTTCTTCCAGCTCTCCATTGGCCTCCTGGCCCCGCTGCTGTGGGAGGTGGGTGGGCACGCCCGGGCGCCGTGCCTGCCCGCACCGGGCGACTGCCGGCGACTGCACCGGCAGCCAGCATGTCGGCGGCCGCGCACCTGTGCGCTGGTGGCTGTGTGCACAGGCTGCTTTGGGAGCATGTATTGGTGCCGCCAGCCTGACGCATGCTCCTGCCCCCTGCCACCGCGCAGGCCGTCTCCACGGCGCGCCTGTTTGCCAAGCACCAGCGGGAGCGGCAGCAGGCCGGGCTGCCGCCCGAGGGCGGCCGGGAGGCGGCGCTGCTGCAGGGCGTGGCGTCCGCGCTGGCGCAGGGAGGCGGGTGGATGGTGGGTGTTGTGGCGTGGGTGCTGCTGGCCGTGGCCTGGGAGGCGGCCGCCGTGTTTGGCGTGCCCGCGGAGCAGCGGGGCTGGAAGTGAGGCAGTGCCTGACAGCCGACATTATGTAGCCACAGCAGATGTAACTAGGTACTCGGATGTTCCCCACCGTCACTACAATCAGTGTCAACCTCGTATGCACTGTTGGCGTAGCCGCCGCCACCTGGCGCGCCATGGCGGCGGCCTGCTTGGGCGCCTCTGAGAGGGTAGGCAGGCAGTGGCATTCCTGCGCCTTTGCAGCAGCTGCCTCTACTCCCCCAGTTTCCATCACCGTCGGAGCGTTGCGCTCCGCCCCTTCCCAGGGCGCCGCCCCGTTGATCTAGCTGGTCTAGGCCAGCTGATCCTGTCACTATGGATGACGATGACCTGCTGGGCGCGATGCTGGACTTTGAGGTGGGTGCGCTCCCTTCCGGGCGTTGCAGGCCGCCCCAGGGCACAGGCCAGCCAGCTCGACACTGCACCACTGCGGTCCGCTGCAGGACGTTGGCGCCGCGGCAGCAGGCGTGGGCCTGGCGGCACCGCCGCTGTCCGCCACGCCGCCACCGCAGGCAGCACCAGGTGGGGCCCGGCTGCGCCTGCCTGGATTGTTCGCCACTGCTCGCAGCCGGCAGGCCTGATCGCCGCTGCCTGCTCTGTGCTGTTCGCAGTCCACATCCTTGCGCAGCACCCAGTGCCGAGCTCTCCCCAGGTGGCCAGCTCGGCGCCCTCGCCGACGGCCCCCGCCGCCCGCCCCTCGCCCTCGCCCTCCGCGGCCTCTGCCGCCGCGCTGGGGCAGGCCCGCCAGCCCGTTGTGCTCACCTCAGAGGGAGAGAGGAGTTACATGCTGATGTTTGGCATGCTGGCCGCCTCGGTGCCGGAGAAGAAGGCGGAGCTGAAGGGACTGGTGGAGCGGTACAGAGCCTCCACCGCACATGTGAGTGCCCGCCCCGGGAGCCGTGAGTGCCGTGAGTGCCGACGTCGCCGCCGCTGCTGGCTGCCCGCGCCGCGCCGATCATGCCGCCGCCTGCCCCGCGCGGCTGCCGGCCTGCAGAAGCCTCCCGCCGAGGTCCAGGCCGGCTTTGTGCTGCTCAAGGAGTCTGTGCGGCGGCTGTTTGGGGCGCAGCTGTACAACCAAGCTAAGGAGAAGTTCCAGCAGCAGCAGCAGCAGCAGCTGCTGCAGGCACGGCAGCAGGCAGCGGCGGCAGCGCCGCGTGCCCCGCCACCCTTCCCTGCCGGCGGCCTGGTCACCGGCCAGCCGGCGCCGCCAGCGGCGCAGAAGCAGGCGGCGGCGGCGGCGCGGCAGGCGGCAACCCCGGCCCTGCAGCAGCAGCTGCAGCAGCAGCAGCAGTTGCAGCAGCACCAGCACCAGCAGCACCAGCAGCTGCACCAAATGAAGCTTCAGCAGCACTACATGGCTGCTAGCGCGGCAGCGGCAGCAGCCAAGCGCCCGGCAGGTCCGCCCGCTGCCGCCTGCGCGCCTGCGGCAGCCCTGCATCGGCGCCCCGCCCTCTCCTCGTCTGCCGCTGCTGCCGCCGCCTGTTGCCAGCGACGCCGCCGGCACCGCCTGCTGCTGTGCAGACGGCGCGGGGGAGCAGCCGGCGGCCAAGCGCCCCAAGCCGGCGGCGGCGGCGGCGGCGGCCAAGCGGCGGGACGACGATGTGGGGGTGACTGTGGATGCTCTGATCGATTATGACGATGAGACGGATGCGCTCATGCAGGGTGTGCCGCGCGGGCAGGGATGGCGGGGAGGGAGGGGGAGGGGGGGAGGCGGTGTAGGGCAGGATGCTGCACGCAAGGTTGCACCGGCGGGGGTTGGCAGCGGCGGCGGCGTGCCTGTGTGCGCGCGTGTGCGAGTGTTTTGCTGGTGGTGTGCAAGGGGGCGGAGGGGGCCTGTCCGTCTGGCGGCAGAGGCCGAGCGTGGCGCCCCACGGCGCGGCTGGCTGGCGAGGGGCAGCGGGCAGCCTTCCCTCTCCTCCGCGCCTGCGCGGCGGTCGTTTGCCGAGCCCGCCGCTGGCGTGGCGCCGCGCCCCCGCCTGCCGCGCCCCGCCCCGCCTGCAGGCCTGCAGAAGGCTCGGTTTGAGGGGCGCCTGAAGCCGCAGACGCAATCCAACCAGCAGTTCCTAAGGTGCGTGTGTGTGTGTGTGTGTGTGTGTGAGAGAGAGAGAGAGAGAGAGAGAGGGAGAGAAGCAGCAAGGGAGGAAGGGCGTGAATATGTGTAGAGGCCCAGGTTGGGCTGCCGGTGTCGCGCCTGGGGGGCGGCCCTGGGGGGTGCACCGCACTGCCCGCCCCTCTCCAGCCATCCCCAGCCACCCACCCACCCTGCCCACACACACACCTCCTGGGCACTGCCCCCCCTCCCCCGCAGCGAGTGGCGCATCGGGAACGAGTCA